ATATCGATTCCACGTTAACACAAAAGTAAATTGTACACAACTATGTCGGCTATAGTTTTGAAATATTGCACCAAATCACGCCCTCCAGTGACAAAGCGCTTCCGTGACGTAAATGGGTGACACAAAAGCCGTTCAAAGGAGTCACGTATCGTTTTGATATGAAGTCATCCATCAGGATTATGTTTTTGAGAAATTCTACTGAATTCTAGATGACGAAATACTACACAATCAAACACAGTTGTCGATTTGAACGGCATTGTCTTCGCCCATTCGTGGAAGGTACTAACGGCCCATTTAAGTCATTTTGACGTCATAACAGCGCCCGTCACTAGAGTGCGCGATTTAAAGGAATGACGTATTGACACAATTGCCGCGATTAGTCGATGATGTAAACAGTATATTGATATGTACAATCCATGTTAATTCTATGTAATTATGTGAGGGTTTGTATTGCTAATGTAGAGCTAGTCATTCGTGGACATCCTGACTTCTGTAAATATAAACAATCTCCTGAATATCTTAATATTACGTGCACCGTGACAGTAACAACGTTGGAATACATTCTACGAAAATATCCGTAGTTTGAGTAAGAAACGATGTACTGAGGCCACAATGAGGTTAAACTGTCACAAAGTTAATTTATAGTACCGTTAAATTTGTGAACTTGAAACTATTTTCACGATAACGAGCAGAGAGCTACCATGAGTGCATGGCCCTAGAATAAGATAAGGCATTTCCATAGTAATTGAAATGCGCCATGTTATACGCGTTAGTTTTTACTCTGACGTAATTTACGGGAAGGGAAGGCAGGGTGAAACCTGAAAGTTTCCCAAATCGTGTTCATTGATTTTCCTTGCTTGACAATATATAGGGCAATGATATCGTAGGGATAAAGTATCCGACGTAGACTGATCAGTGCAGTATCCGGTGTATTCTGAATTACCCCAAGACTGCATGATACACGCGGATAGATCGGTTTAATTTTCACGTGAACCAATAAAATAAAATACATAGATGAATATCAAGTAGTTGTTAAAATGATAAGTTACATCGATTCGCATAGACGAAAATGCGAAAAAGGATTCTGCCCAGAGGGGTTGTACGATTATACCAGATTTGGTCTCAATTCTCGTGTAACTGTATATGAATAACACGACTAAAAGTCTGTAACGCATCCATAATACTCGAACATCAGGCGCCAATGTGCATCGATCATTTGTATAACTCCATCTAAAATGGCGCAGGTCGGTTACCTTTCGAATCGAGGAAGTGACTGAAGCTGAGATCGTCATCATGATATGGAGGGAACTCAGATCAACAAAGTATCAGTTAACTCGCTGTCTATCTTTGGTAACATCTACTTGAATATAGACTACGTTTTAACAGCCAGGACTTTTATTTTGACCGTGAACTCCAAAAATGTAGCTCAAGGTTCAACGCAGAGCGCATTAGATGATATAACGTAGGGATCAGATAGATATTACAAAGTGGCCCAGTCGAAAAAACAATAACACAAATATTCATTGTTATTTTACTAGACGTCGTTGAACAATAATATAAATATCACATAATCTGTTACAGCAGAAGCACACGCCTTCATGTACATTTAAGTTGAATAATAAGTTATTGGAGTAATAAACTGGATATTACCATTCGGCGAAAAAAAGAGCATGTCCATCAATGGATGGGGCGTGGCTCCACATTGGGAACACCGTGGAGATAGACGTAATATCTAGTATGAACGACTTCAACTAATAAAACGATTTTGAACTGCTCGACGCATGTTATACATATGACATTCAGTTTTACTATTTTTTTCAAATAACACATTTCTTTCGACGAGTCTTCAGTTCTCAGAACATGCATACACTGGCTTTCAATCCATTGGGATATTAATCAGAACGTCTAGTCTTCAGATGTACGCGTCCCAACTCCAAGATGTGTAAAAAGGTTCATTAATAAATGACTGCAACAAATAATTCCCAATGGAATGAACAATGTATGTTCACTATAATATTGTTATTAAGTTTAATTGTGAGAACAATTACTCCTGTCGTAAATTAGTCTAAAGCCAGACAATAGAGCCAGAAAAATTCACGATAGAAGGCAAAGCGTTCCGATTTCGGCACGTATGAAGATAACCACGTTTCCTGCATGACTGGGTCTTGGTAACGAGTGGATGGTATCATCGTCGACACATTTAAGTTACTTGACATCGTAATTTGGGAGTTCAGTCGCAACTTTGAACAACATCTAAAAAAAACGGATGAATTATGAAGGAAGTGTTTGATCTGTTGTATACTTTGTGATGGGGTGAGAATTTCAAGATATTCGCATCGGTTGAGACAATGTCGCCTAAATCATTACATTGTGACACCGCCGCCTAAGGGGATTTATGAAAACTATGAGACGATACAAACTTATCGGATCCCCCGGCTACACTTTTGTAGGAAAAGAAAATGATATCGGAATACATGATATAAATTATAGTTGTCTAATCCTACACGAAGTGAAGTAGCAATATTGAAATGTGTTTTTTTCTTATTATATTAAAAAATGTACATGTTATAGATAATGACCGTAGAACGGGTATACGGTGTTACAACGTGACAAGTGCAGTCGGTACAAGAGCACTCCGTCGTATCATACCCGGCAGATGATAATGAACGCTAAAAGTAGTTAATAGCTTCGGTATCCAAGCTTCTCAAATAGTAGCTTTTGGAATCTTTAAATTTACGACCTTTCCACTGTATAGCTGATATGATAACAGTACGTTGAGTGGACTGCATATGTTGAATATGATCGGCTTTTTGTCGGCAAATTGGTGATCACTTTGACCAGATCGTTATTACTTTAGCATTCGCTTTGATCGTCCATGCATACCTTTCCAGGCTTTATGGCATTACCTCAATGCGTCCAACGGGACTCGCTAAACATGTTAGCCTCCTGTTCTTTAAATGGGTGTTGCAATTAAAAACTTAGCAGATACGTGTCAAACACTTGTCAAACACTTACATTTTCGCGAAACACTCACTGTCATACAACAATACTCATTTAACATGCGCGAAATGTTTCTTTTTTATGTTTCATCATTAAAAATAGGACCGAAAAACGATTAGAAAAAAGTCAAGCTGTAATCAGTGCGTCAGTCTTAATTAAATAATTAATTAACACACCAGTTGAAGTAAAATTATAATATTTGAGAGGGGAATATGTATATTAATTTATATATTATTTATTTTCGAAATAAATAATTATCTCGTAAAATCCGTGTCCATCTGCTATTGTTATATCGTGCTTTACTGAGCTCGGAGAGCGTATCACTGATGTGCCGCCGAATTGGACCTTCTTATCATCAAGGTTACGGCTCCACACAACTACGCCGACTAGTGGTAGTACATTTACGAATGAATTGCTTAGGTCGTAATTTTTCCCAACTGAGTTTCGGACCTTTTATGCAGCTGTAACACTTGATACCGGTGAACAGTGCGAATCGGGCTCGGCAGCATCATCAAAGGTCCGGTTGAAGTCAATTTCCTGCACACGGGTCGTGATTTTGCTCGCATTACCCAGTCTCTGTGCCGCTACTCCAAATTTTCAATGATCTATCTTTGTGTTGATGCCGGTGTATTTGTACTTCGCCGTTTTCAGATCCTCTTCAGTTCGCTTGAATGCTAATGACATTACATGCAAGCTCGTGGCAACGGGAATATAAGCAGCAGTTCGTGAGAAAATAAAAGCTGTGTCCTGGAAAAATATATGTAAGGGTGTTACTTTTTCAGGGTATTTATTAGTTCACGTTTATTCCACTGGATACGCGGCAACCGCAAACGACAGAGTGCTAATCAGTTTTAATAAGATGACGGTGGAAGATATGGCCAGTAAATAAACACATACTGTGTGTCGCTTGGCGAAGTCTGCAACGGCAGGGTGCCCTATCAAAGGCGTTTGATATTCAATACCGACATACCAATTAATTTCTGTAAATTACACCCGAATTGCGTACAAGGTCTAATTTCGATGTTCATATAGTCGGCGAAACTCCACACAACTTTCCGGCTCGTATAAAAAGAAAATAACCAAATAATAGTATTTGTAGGATAATTGGCTTATTATGCCATACAAAGATACAGGTAGCGACGTATAGTGGGTTTGAATGGCCTTTTATTTATGTTGATTATGGAGCCAGACAATTTGATGGAATTGCGTGAATAATGCCAAGTGTTGTTTTGCTCTGTTTTGGGGAAAGCCCGCCGCGCTGAGTCCCCGGCAGTGCGTTGGATAATGAGATAGGTGTTGTTTACATAGTCTTCACAAAAGAGAACCGCAACTTACACCATGCTCGCACATGAACGCGATAAGGTCCACTTTCTCTAGCAACTCGAAATACCCCAAGCGCCAACGATATGATATTTTGCCTGCGAAATATGTATACTGTGCTATGAAACGTCAATGTTCAGACATAGTAATATACTAGTCGGAGGTGTATGCGATTGGTATGGGAAATGGTCACCATTAGCTAGGAAAACATCCATACTAGATAGACCCTGTAGCTTTTTTTTTTAGCTCCACGGACATACGCGCAATGACCTGATACATTCTTCGTTGGAAGCGAATTTATGTACGTGGTAACTTATGTACGTGGTCGTTTTATATTGTGTGTCTACGCGTTATCAATAAACACTGAAGAAGCCAACCATTGAGCCAACTGAGAAGAGTCGTACTCGTGGAGCCTGTATGAACAGTCAGAGAACGGGCTATGAAAACAACAAAGCGTGCCGACGCTGTTGAAGTGATTAGGTGCTAGCCAATCATCGACGAGAAATAGATGACAAGTTTGTATACTGTTGACGTATGGTTATTTCAAATGCGTAGCACCGCCCACCACTGCGTACGTATCCAGTCTCCAGTATTTTGAACGAATACATTCATAGCAAAGGTACACAATCGTAAGCATTAGCTGCCGGCAGTGTCAGCGATTGTACGGTACTTCATGCCAGTAACGTACGCCCAGCGTGGAACTGTGTGCTCATCGCAACCCGTGTAGCCATGGGTTATGACATAGAGCGTTTCTGTGAAACGATCGAAGAAAATTTGAAATGCAGTGTATGTTTGGGTGTATTGGAGGATCCGCTAGCTACGCCATGTGGTCATGTATTTTGCTCATCGTGTGTTCTACCATGGGTTGTGCAGAACGGGAACTGCCCCTTGAAATGCGAGAATTTCTCACCCAAGGAACTGAACAGCGTTCTGCCGCTTAGGAATATAATTCAGAAACTCGAAGTACGTTGTGAATATCACCGACGTGGATGCAACGAAATGGTGAAAATACACAATTTATCGCAGCATGTAGAAGACTGTGATTACCTGCCAATACAGTGCTCCAATAAGGGCTGTCGAGTAGTGCTGAATATCAAAGACCAGCTACAGCACGAGACACAAACATGTGAATATAGACCTGTGGGTCAGTGTAAGAACGGCTGTGGATTAACGCTGTTGTGCCGTGACGTACACGGACACGAATGTCTGAAGGCACTTCAGGCACATGTCGCCTCGCAACAGGTCAAACTGGTCAGTTTGGAGCACGATCTTAAGAAAATGGCCATTCGTTATAGCAAACGCGAGAAGTCGCTTGTGGTCCAATTGGCTACTTTGCAAAACGAAATTCACATGCAAGCGCTACGCTACCAAAAGAAATTGAATGAATACAAATCGCAGATCCAGTATTTGAGTAAACGGGCTACCAGCGCGGAAAAGGTACGTGAAAACCAGGACAATCAACATCAATTTGTTTTCATATTGTAGTAGGCTATCATGACGGCGACAATAAATGTTCACTCTTTATATAAAAAAATGCCGCAGGCGGCTCAGAACTTGGGGATATATTTTCGAGGCCCCCAGCGGGGTGAATGCACTAGGGAAGGTATTTGCATTACTTTTACATTGCCAGGGTCAACTCCAACTTCCTGGAGACTCTGAACTCATTATTGCTGGTCACGTAGGAAAGCCATCAGTTCTGACAAGGCTTAGGAAAAGATACAGTTTATTTGTTCATTCATAAATATGTGAATATTTTAATTATAACGTTTTTGAGTGAATGAGTGAGTGAGTGAGCACTCTGATGTTCGTGCGATCGCATCTATGCAACCAAAACAAAACGTTCTTCACCGTGAATGTCTAAACTGTGACCGGCACTTGAATAACCGCCCGTTCATGCGTAGCGAAAATAAAGTATATTCTGTGAACGATTCATCATGGTTTAACCCAGTCGACAAATTACTGTGGCGAAGCAGTTTGTCCATTTAATTTAACCTGGTGCCTGTGACAATCGTACGTCGGATTTTTGTTGTGAATTTAGCAGTGTTGCCCTTGGGCGTTGCAAACTCCCAGGGCAATTTATGTACCTTGAACCTTTTTTATGCTCATATTTTTATTGTCTTACTTTATGGCATTATTTATTTGTATGTCTGTCACCTGTGTAGCAGCCTTGTGAAGAAGCGACAATGTCGATCTCCCTCGAACGAGAAAATGGTAGCCTGGGTTTCAATATAATGGGCGGAAATCGGGTGAGTGTATTATTAAAAATAAATATGTAAAAAATCAAAATGGGGTTGTTAATGCACATTGGTTTGCTAATGTATGTAATGTGACGGTGCATTGACTGCGCATAATTTAATCAAACAGAAATTACTAACAAGATAATTGGTGAGGATATTTTATCCGAAATTCCATAAACTACAGGGGTACAAATTGTATCAATAAACAGTTCTGATACACACAGGGCCCTTGTCAGTCACACCTCTTTGGGATGACCGCTTCCGATACTCTTGGTGGCTGAGAGAAGAGAAATTTGCCAGCTGATAGCTTTCCTCATTGGTAGTGGTTTCATTTAAAGCATTGTTACAGTAGGCACTTTGATGTCTTTGTACACCGTGAATAAAGCAGTAATGAATGAAACCCTGTATTGTTGAGACTCGCACAATGCCTCACTCCCAACTCAACTCCCCCTATCTTGGTACCCTGGTCGTGTTTTATTACGCCGTAATTAGTGGCATGCAAAATAGGCAATTATTCTCTGATAATTCCAAATAATTCACCGTTTTATCTCGTTTGTTCTTTTTATTTAAAAAATTACAATTCATGAAATAGCGAGTGTGCTCTCAGCATTTTATAGCACAATTGATAGTATTGGCTTGAATTGCTTCCTTTGATTATACCCACAATGGTTATATTAAAAATATTTTGTATTTACTTCAATCTCAGATTGATGGTGCTTTGCCTGCTGAAGGAATTGTTGTTTCCAGAGTTACGGATCACGGTCCAGCAGACAGGGGCAAGCTCAAAGTGAACGACCGCATTATACAGGTACATTTGAGTTTGTTTCTCTGTGATCTCCAAGGGCCAACCGTTGGTGACTCACCAAGACTTCATTGCTTTTAAGTATTTATATTATTTGTATTCAATTGCACCAACTGAATACGTTGATTTCATAATGCACATAATTATTATTCAGTAGTTTCAAATGGAAATTAAAAATTCTTCCATTTTCACTCCATGGGGAATTGTCTGTATCTTTCTTTGCTGGGATGATGATGATGATGAAGCAGCTCCTGCCCAGCATGTCCAATTTATTTGTACAAGTTGGGAGGCAGGAGCAACCTTGCTGAACTTTCCCAACAGTTATGTTTGTTTTATTAGAGTTCAATTAATTTCTGGCATAATTCCACAAAGTCATTGTATATCACTGTTGTTTAGTCAATTAGCATTTAAACAAAACACTAACATATAACACCCGGAATAATGTGTATGACCAACAGTCATTTTCACTCATTAACGCCAACTTGTGATTTCTTTTTTTTTTTAATAAGAATTGCTACATTTTGGCTTTGTAAGTCATGACATCACCATATTTATCCTAACACCTTTGTGATAGCCCTGAACAAACAACCACTAATTCTTGGAGTGAGTTGGGTCAGGGGCAAAGGTCAGCTTAGAACAGTAAACTCCCTATCTCAGCTTTCAAATTCCCTGTTGTAGATATTCAGGATCTTTTCATGAGGCGTAACAAGTCAAATAGAAGCATGGCCCATTCTTAACAATGTGCACCTCTGTTTACACACTGCAATACGCTCATAACAACTTCAGTCGTCAAAACACAATTAGATAAAAATTTCTGAAGCTAAACACCGGAAGTATGGGATAAGAAAACTTATTTACTTGATCAGTAGTTGTGTACAGTTTGCTTGTTGTTTTCACAGTTAGATATATTTTCAATTTTTCCGCTTCACCGATTTTGCTCAGTTGTTACTTGTTCCAGACCGTTTTCCTATTAAGTTTGTTTTTGGACAAATTGTTGATAAGTATGCTAACTTTATCGGTCTGTAATAGAATATATGTGTTTCTGTTATACCGGCACTGGAAACACTTCTGTAAGGTTCGGGTTGCATTGAAACCCTATCCACCAATCCCGGTCACTGCTATGCACCGCTGAGAACTCTCGGCTATCAAGCTGGGCCCATATAAGAATGCTTGAAAAGTTCCAAATGCATGTTACGAACAATACTACACACTGGAACAAAGTGACGTGAATGGCAGGGATCTACATCTCATGTTAACTCAGTCATTTGCCCTAATTGCCATGCCTTGAAAATATTGCAGTCAAGCCCTTTAACAACTAAGGGAGTCCCACACACCTGATTGAAATCCTATGTGTGTATTTTGCGGTGAGCATGCTTTAGCTATTTTTATCGAGTGCACTGACCCACTGGTTTGTACTCATCAAAGCTCAGGTGTGAAATATTTTGATGGTAGAGCAATAAGTAGTTGGGAAGCAAAGTTGTAAACAGAAAGGTAATGTTGCAATAAGCGATATTATTAAAAGTTGAAGAATTCCTGCGAAATCGTAAACAGTGAGATAAAATTGCAAGTTGGGTCTCCCTCAGATTTTGAAATCTTAATCCAACATTTTCAGGTGTACATTACATTGTATTGCTCCCATGACTACCGTTATACCCATATGTTTATAATAACCTTGTTGGAGTGGCGTGGAGGAAGAGAGGGGGAGAGGTGTTTTGGATTTTACCGCATAGTTATACCGCCTTGGACGTAAGACGTCAAGTTGGATAATGAATAATGGAGGCTTAGTAACGAGACAGTTCATTAGTTTGTATTCATTGGTTCGTACTGGTAAACAGCTGATTTAATGTTGAAATAATTAGTATCTTAGATCTATCCCCCATCATTAAGGGTGCCTTGATGTGAAACCAGACATTAAATTGAAAGTTTGGCAGAAGTTCAAAATCCAGGATTTGTTCTTTTTTTCCTGCTTTTTAGAGTGTCGGCTACTTTGCGGTAACATTTGTAGTTTCAAGGTGTTTTTGTTGAAGCCGGTCGCTGTGTTCGGACCAGCTTTCTTCATTATTTGGGGATGATAATGATTTAGGTGGTACTCCCCGCTGGGACTGTATCAGTACTAGTCTGTTGTTTTACCCTAGGAGGGACTGACTGACACGAAGCAAACTCTTTGATCTACCCGCTGATCACTGGCTGATCATTGCCGTTTCACCAAACACCACATGTAGTAAATCCGACCTTTCATTCACACATACATTATTGTTCGACCTTAGTTATTGTTTTCTTCTTTGGAACATTTGTGTGCAGTGACCGCACTGAGAAAAAAAGAAGCGACAGAATCTTGTTGTGTCTAGACAGGTGTATCGGTGATCCACTAAAATGATCGGGTTTTCTCAGGTACATTCAGAACTGCACAGTCTGTTGTTATAATTGCAGGTTTTGTTCATTTCGCTTCCTATTGTGTTTATTTCATACATACAAAGTGGAGGAATTTATAGTTTCAAAGTTGTCACCAATGTCACGACAATGAATGACATTGTGCTTGTCTTTTTTTTGTAATGATGTACAATTCAAGGAGTTGACCTAACGACAGGGACCGCAAAGAGTCGACTCATCGCCAGAGACGGTCTTCACTGACCTTTGTTATTGTGGGCAAAGGTGACACACCAGCTGTAGGTGAATGGAGAAACTGAGCTTCCTGGGAAAGCCTCTCAACCACACTGACACTGCTGTAATTGACAGAAAAAAATAAAGCATGTTTGTGTAAAATAAGGATATCTGGTTCACAGTTACGCACACAGGGGGGAAGTTCAGTTTTCAAGGCGCAAGGACATCACATGTGTTTAGCAAATTGAATCAGTATGGAAATTAGCCGCATCGTTCTCTCTCTCTTGATTTCTAGAAAACTTTGCATGTCACATGACCTAGTTGTTCATTTACAACACAGATTGGAATGTACATTGGAATGTACATATTCAATTTCAGACAGAGAAAAAAAACAACAACTGAAAAACTGAACAAAAACTGAATTTGACAATTCTGAAAAGAATATATTGTAAACGAAGCGTATGCATGTACAAGGTAGCCCCAGGCACCAAACAAATACACATACACACACACACAGACAGGTAGCCCCACTGTTTTTTTCCCAAAACTCGGCCCACTTGGGGAATTACAACGCAGTAATTGAAATGGTTGTAAAGTAGTGCATTCAGCATAAAGACTGTGGGTCTCGGCCTCTATTAAATTTAAAAATGAGAAAGGTTTGTCTGACAAAAGAATAGCACCATAGTTACATTAAAATAAAGTAGTTAGTTGGATGAGATGAAAATGATGTTAGTGTTACTCTCAAATTTGTGTCTATGTTTTATTTGATTCGCTAAAATGCTGGTAATTTTTGTGTGATATGAGGATGTAATTTTTCAGTCTGTATTTTCGTGTGTTTATTTTTGTTGACATGTGGAATAGTAATAAAAGTAACATACTGATTGCAATTCCATAATCCCGTTAACTGCATTAGATACAACAAATATAAGAGTATTTATTAGCGATGACCTGTACAATATGACACCAATGTTGAATTTCAATATTGAGAGATAATTTTTTTCGTGAGCACTTTTTTTCTTTTTTCCTATAGAAATTATAAAGCTTAAATATTCGGCATCTCGGTGTGTATTATGTATTTCTGTTGCTGCTAGACTACGCAATATTCTTGGTGTGTGGCTCACAGTAACGAGGACTTATTTTAGAAGTCATTTATCCCTGCTTTTATAATGTTGAAGCCTCCAGGGGAAACTGGTATATAAAATTACAATGGCTGTTGGTTGTAGTGGAAGTCCGCAAGCAGGGTGCCATTATTTGTAGCAATTCCTTTATATTTGATACACACAAAATGGCACTTACGTAGCCCGGTCCTTTCACTGGAGTTTCGAGTAGTTGATATCAAAAAAAAAGCTCTGTAGTTGTAATCAAGTAAAAAGCTGTGTATTGTTAGACATAGGTGGTTAGCTCACTTAACAGTGGTGTACTTGTCTCTTTTGGAGTGCTAGAGGCCATCGCAGCATTCGGAAATGGCAGACATTTCTCCATTGACGAGTTGCTCCTTGTGCAGCTGTAACAGATGGAAAGACAATGGATTGTCTCTGATTTCTATTGTTATTTTGCTTGGGTTTGCCGGATGATGTGATGGAGATGATTGGTCCGGATGTGCAAGATCCTTTGTTTCCTTTTTCACTACACCAGTAATATAGATAGAATCATAACAACACATTATATATATTTCTAATCTTTCTCTTAAAAATCAAAATTATATCCTTGTTTACATACACAATTTAAATCTATGACGATGAGAGTAATCAGGGTTGAACCAATAATTATTTGTGGGTGTGGTGGTGAGTTGATGGGGTAGGGATTGGGGAATCAGATTAAAATTGGTAGGAGGCAACTTAAAAATTCCTATTAGTACAATGGTCTGAGAACTAAAAAAAAGTACCCCATTTAAATTAATGGCCTGTCCCTTAAGTTAATTACAAATATTCAACCTCTTACGCTCAGTGTCAAGGTTGGGATTCTATTTAAAAAAAAAGCATGAACAAATAAATGTGTTTCTGAGAACAAAGCATCCAGGTAGCTATTATCAAAATAGTGTTTCATTATTTTTATTTGTATGGCCAATTATAATAGAATTGGAGGGTAAAGCAATCTTAATCCTTTAAACCCTGTCTTATATTGTCAAAATCAAGTACCCTTTTTTTCATTAGTTTAATTCAGGGATTTCCTTCGTAAATCTGCACCTGTCTGCTGTGTTTCCTTTCATTTCGGAAAGTTTTTCGCTTTCTATAATTCGGATTAGTGTTGAATCGGTATTGTTTGCGCACACGGTCATGCTTAATAGCACTGCAGCCAACCAATAAACAGACTGATACAGGTTATTAATATTGTTAATACAGACAGATAATGGGCACATATCAGGAGTAAAGCTTGGCTCTAAAAATGACAAGAGCATACAACTT